AAGTGGAAAGTTTGGGGATCTCTTGATACCAAGCCAGTTCAGGCAGACCAAGAAAGATTGCAGCCACTACTGCGAAGAATTGTTCATTGGAGATACAAAGAAAAACCCACAGGTACCTCAGAAGACATGCAGGTTGCTTTGGAAAAAAAATGGTTGTGGTTTTTTTTAAGGAGCACAATATGAGTATATGTGAACAAAAATGAGCTACATGATGTGATGTTACCAGCCACTACTGCCAGAAGAATTGTTCGTTCGAGATACAAAGAAAAACCCACAGGTATCCTCAGAAGAAATACAGGCTGCTTTGGAAAAAGATGGTGTGGTTTTTTTTTTTAAGAAGCACAATATGAGTATATGTGAATAAAAATGAGCTGCATGGGTGAGTTCCCAGAAAGAAGCCTTTACTGCACCAATGCCACAAAAAAGCCCAGTTACAATATGCCTGACATATAAAGGCTTCTTCCTGGCAACTCAACCATGCAACTTTTTTTTTTTTTTTTTTTCCAAGCATCGTCATATTGTGCTCCTTGAACCAACCCACACTGTCTTTTTCAAGAGAAGCATGTATTTTTCTTAAGGTTATCTGTGTTTTTTTTCTTCATATCCTGAAAAATTGTTCTGGCAGTTGTGGCTGCAATCGTTCTTGGTCTACCTGACCTTGGCTTGGTATCAAGTAGAAAATTTGGGGATCTCTTCTTAATAAGTGATTGAATATTACTAATTACGTTTGCCACGTCATCCCTTTAAACCCAAAAACATCTTAATTACACAGGTCCTGTGGCTGATTAAGGTGGTAATTAAACTCACTTAGTACCTTATCTGCATTAAATTAACTTCAAAACCTGTGTAAATAATATGTGTTCAGGTTTAAAAGGATGAGGTGGCAACCCTAGTGCTGATTGGCATATTCAAGGCTTTGGATATCTTTTTTTTATATCCTTTTCCATCTTCACATGAAAGCTAACAAACTCCCTGACTTTTTATACACAGACACTAATTGAAATGTAAAAAAAGTGTGTGTGTGTGTGTGTGTGTGTGTGTGTGTATATATACACACACACCAGCTACTTAATTAGGTACACCTGTTCAATTGCTTGGTAACACAAAACTGGTAATCAGCCAATCACATGGCAGCAACTCAATGCATTTAGGCATCTAGATGTGGGGGAAGACAACTTGCTGAAGTTTCAAACCGAGTATCAGAATGAGGAAGAAAGGAGATTTAAGCAACTTTGACTGTGCTATGGTTATTGGTGCCAGACAGGCTGGTCTACATATTTAAAAAAACTGCTGATCTACTGGGATTTTCACACACAACCATCTCTAAGGTTTACAGAGAATGGTCCGAAAATGAGAAAATATCCAGTGAGCAGCAGTTGTGTGGATGAAAATACTGTGTTTTCAGAGGAAAATGGGCAGACTGGTTTGAGATGATTGAAAAGCAATAGTAACTCAAATAGCCACTCGTTACAACCAAGGCATGCAGAATACCATATTTGAATGCACAACACATTGAACTTTGAAGCAGATGGGCTACAGCAGCAGAAGACCACACCGGATGCCACTCCTGTCATCTACAAATAGGAAACAGACGCTACAATTCACACAGGCTCACCAAAATTGTACAATAGAAGATTGGACAAACATTGCCTGGTTTGGTGAGTCTCGATTTCAGCTGTGACATTTAGATGGTAGTGTCAGAATTTGACCTTGTATCAACAGCTGACAAATCTGCAGCAACTGTGTGATGTTATCATGTCAATATGGACCAAAATCTCTGAGGAATGTTCCCAACACTTTTTTGAATCTATGCCATGAAAAATTAAAGTGGTGAACTCACTTGCAAATACATCTACCACTGAGCTAAACATCCTCCATGTTACAAATAACAAAAAAATGTGTGTGTGTGTGTGTGTATATATATATATATATATATATATAGATAGATATATAGATATATATATATATCTATATATATTGCTCAGCGTAAATGAGTACACCCCTTTTGAAAAGTAAGATTTTAATCAATATCTTAGTGAACACAAGAACAATTTCCAAAATTTTTATAAAATTGAGTTTTATAGAACATTTGTTTAGCTCATTACATGAAAGTAAGATTAATACTATAACTTAGATTACAAAATCTTCCATTTTACTCAAATTAGTTGAAGTAAAATTGAATACACTCCACAACAAAAACCAGTATTATGTATGACCTCCATGATTTGTAAGGACAGCACCAAGTCTTCTAGGCATGGAATGAAGATGGAGACATATTGCAACATCTAACTTTTTCCATTCTTGAAGAATGAAACTCTTAGAGCCTTGGTGCTGGATGGAGAGTGATGCTCAACTTGTCTCTTCAGAATTCCCCATAGGTGTTTGGGTTCAGATCAGGAGACATACATGGCCAATAAATCACTTTCACCATGTTCTTCTTCAGTAATGCAACTGTGGCCTTAGATGTGTGCTTTGGATCATTGTTATGTTGGAAAAGTGCACGACGACCAAGGGCACGGAGTGATGGTAGCATCTTCTCAATTAATATAGAGCAGTACATTTGTGAATTCATAATACCATCAATGAAATGCTTTTTTGTGCACGGGCTTTAGGAGAAGCTTCCTTCGTAGATGACACCATGCATGCCATTCCTTTGCAGTGTACGCTGTATTGTGTCATTTGAAACAATCACCCCAGTTTGGCTTTTTACTCCTTTAGCTAACTGCAGTGAACTTGCATGACGATTTTCTTCAACCCTTCTTATTGAAGACACTCCTGTCGAGGTGTTAACTCCCATGGACAACCTGGACGTCTCTGCAAGATGGTTGCAGTTCCATCTTTAAATTTTTGTATCACTTTTGCTACAGTGTTCTGACTGATAAGTAAATCTTTGCTGATCATCTTGTAGTTTTCTACTCCTTCCTTTTGTAAAGAAATTATTTTCTAACATCAAGTACCTAGGCATGCAGGCTGCTTCTACCACGATTTGTGAAAGAATGGGTCACTCTCAGGAGCTCAGTGAATTCAAGCTTGGTACTGTGATAGGTCTACCTGTGCAATAAGTCCATCCATGAAATTTCCTTGCTACTAAATATTCCACAGCCAACTGTTAGTGGTATTATAACAAAGTGAAAGCAACTGGAAACAACAGAAATTCAGCCATGAAGTGGGAGATCACGTAAAATAAGTTTTGGGGCTCCTGCCTTTACACGCACATGAACTTTAATGGCATCCCAGTCTTAGTCCATAGGGTTCAATATTGAGTTGGCCCACCCTTTGCAGCTATAACAGCCTCAACTCTTCTGGGAAGGCTCTGAACAAGGTTTAGGAGTGTGTCTATGGGGATGTTTGACCATTCTTCCAGAAGCACATTTGTGAGGTCAGGCACTGATATCAGATGAGATGGCCTGGCTCACAGATTCTGCTCTAATTCATCCCAAAGATGTTCTATCAGGTTGAGGTCAGTCAAGTTCCTCCATGCCAAACTCTCTCATCCATGTCTTTATGGACCTTGCTTTGTGCACTGGTGCGCAGTTATGTTGGAACAGGAAGTGGGGCCATCCCCAGACTATTCCACAATATTGGGAGCATGAAATTGTCCAAAATGTCTTGGTATGCTGATACCTTAGAAGTTCCCTTCACTGGAACGAAGGGGCCAAGCCCAACCCTTGAAAAACAAACCTACACCATAATCCCCCCTCCACCAAACTTTACACTTGGCACAATGCAGTTAGGCATTTACCGTTCTCCTGGCAACTGCCACACCCAGACATGTCCATCTGATTGGCAGACAGAGAAGCGTGATTTGTCACTCCAGGGAACACGTCACCACTGCTCTAGAGTTGTCAGAGCTCCCGGGTATGACCAGAGGTGTGTGACTGACGCAGGGAAATGCAGACTTCAGATATGTTATAAACAATGTAATTTATTAACACTAACCATACAAACATAAACGCAGTGCAATACTAAAACATAACACAGTGCAAACAAACCAACCAACCACCCACAGATAACAGTACATACAATGCAAGCGTCGTCAGGCAGGCCGGGTCAATATCAGTCGGGCAGGTAGGTACAGGGGGAGCAAGCGGAGAATGGTCGGGGTCACAGGCCAGGTTCAGCAGGTAGCGGGCAGCGTGGTACAGAGGGTCAGGCAGAGGAGAATGGTCAGACAAGCCAGGGATCAGAGCAGGGTCAGCAGCAGAGATTCAGACAGGAACAGAGAGCAGGAACAGGATACAGGGCCCAAGAGAAACACAACACCAAGGCAGAGTCTGCAGGTCTGAATGTCCCTTAAATACACCAGTATAATTAGTTCCAGGTGTTTGACTGGCTGCAAGGTTGAGTCTCTGATTGCTGGGAGCACCCGCTGGCCAGCCCTGGTACTGCAGCTCATAAGGCAGCTGAGTCCTACTATTGCTGGCCAGTCCATTCCTGACAGTACCCCCCCCCTCAAGGAGCGGCCTCAGGACGCTCCAAACAGTCCTAGCTGGGCAAAATGTTCCACCGCCCGGGTCTGGTAACTGGCGGGATATCAAAGACTGGCACACCGGGCAGGACTCCGGGCAGCGGCACAACCGGGCAGAGGCACATTGGGCAGGACTCTGGGCAGAGGCACATCGGGCAGGACTCTGGGCAGAGGCACATCGGGCTGGACTCCGGGCAGAGGCACATCGGGCTGGACTCCGGGCAGAGGCACTCCGGGCAGCGGCACACCGGGCAGAGGCACATCGGGCTGGACTCCGGGCAGAGGCACATCGGGCTGGACTCCGGGCAGAGGCACATCGGGCTGGACTCCGGGCAGAGGCACATCGGGCTGGACTCCGGGCAGAGGCACATCGGGCTGGACTCCGGGCAGAGGCACATCGGGCAGAGGCACACCAGGCAGAGGCACACGGGCTGGACACTTCCGGGCAGAGGCACATCGGGCAGGACTCCGGGCAGAGGCACATCGGGCAGGACTATCCGGGCAGAGGCACATCGAATTACCAGGCGAAGCAGCAGGCAGCGGGCCACCAGGCGGAGCAGCAGGCACCGGGCCCCCAGGCGGGGGGCAGCAGGCACCGGGCCCCCAGAGGGGCCGCCGGGGCAGCAGGCAGCGGGCCCCTGGGCGGAGCAGCAGGCACCGGGCCCCCGGGCAGAGCAGCAGGCACCGGGCCCCCGGGCGGGGCGACCGGCATCGGGCGACCGGCATCGGGTCCCCGGGCGGGGGCGACCGGCATCGGGCCCCCAGGCGGGAGCGGCGACAGGTCTCGGGCCCTCAGGCGGAGCGGGGGCGCCGGACCACCCCCCAGGTGGAGCGAAAGGTCTCGGGCCCTCAGGCGGAGGAGCGGCGGGCGCCGGACCCCAGGTGGAGCGAAAGGTCTCGGGCCCTCAGGCGGAGCGGCGGGCGCCGGACCCCCAGGTGGAGCGAAAAGGTCTCGGGCCCTCAGGCGGGAGCGACGCGGGCGCGGGCCCCAGGCGGAGCGACAGGTCTCGGGCCCCCAGGCGGAGCGACAGGTCCGGGCCCCAGGATTTCGGAGCGGCGGGCGCCAGACCCCCAGGTGGAGCGACAGGTCTCGGGCCCTCAGGCGGAGCGGCGGGCGCGGACCCCCAGATGGAGCGACAGGTCTCGGGCCCTCAGGCGGAGCGGCGGGGGGCGCCGTACCCCCAGGTGGAGTGCGACAGGTCTGGGCCCTCAGGCGGAGCGGGGCGGGCGCCGGACCCCCAGGTGGAGCGGACAGGTCTCGGGCCCTCAGGCGGAGCGGGGGGCGCCGGACCCAGGTGGAGCGACAGGTTCGGGGCCCTCAGGCGGAGCGACAGGTCTCAGGCCCCCAGGCGGGGGCGGCGGGCGCCCGGACCCCCAGGCGGAAGCGGCGGGCGCCGGACCCCCAGGCGCCGGACCCCCAGGGCAGCCACAGGTCTCGGGCCCCAGGCGAAGCGTGCGGGCACCGAGTCACCAGGCACGACAGTGGGCTCCGATATCAACTGGCAATGACCCTGGCACTGGGTCAGACATTGGATCTGTCTGGCTGGACAGCGGGCATGGGTCACCAGGCATCAGGTCATTTGGCTCGACAGCGGGCACCGCGTCATCTGGCAAGCAGTGGGCTCCGAGTCATACTGGTATGACCGCGGGCACTGGGTCAGACATTGGATCGTCTGACTGGACAGCGGGCATCGGGTCACACCAGGCATCAAGTCATTTGGCTCGACAGTGAGCACTCGCGTCATCTGGCAAGGTATGCCAGTGGGGGGTCAACTGGGCATGACGCGGGCACTGGGGCAGACATTGAATCGGTCTGGCTGGACAGCGGGCATCGGGTCACAGGCATCAGGTCATTTGGGCTCGACAGCGGGCACCGCGTCATTGGCAAGTGGGCAGTGGGCTCCGAGTCAAACAGGAGGCACGACAGTGGGGCACCGGGTCATCAGGTACCGGATTGTCTGGCTCGACAGCGGGCATCGGGTCACCAGGTATGACAGCGGGCACTGGGTCACCAGGCATCAGGTCATTTGGCTTGCCAGCGGGCACCGCGTCATCTGCAAAGGCAGTGGGCACCGGGTCACCAGGCATTGGATAGTCTGGCTCGACAGCGGACATCGGGTCACCAGGTATGACAGCGGGCACTGGGTCACCAGCATCAGGTCATTTGGCTCGCCAGCGGGCACCGGTCATCTGGCAAGGCATTGGGCACCGTAGAGTCACCAGGTACGACAGCGAGCTCTGAGTCAATTGGCACGACAGGGGCCACCGGATCAGGTTACGGATCATCTGGATCAACAGCGCGGCATCGAGTCAACTGGGCCCTAATAGGATCGTCAGGCTGGATCAGTTCATCCACGCTGGGTAGAGGCATCAGGCTGAATGCCGGCATCAGGCTGAGTAGAGGGTCTTCAGGCCGAAATAGAGGCTTCAGGCGAAGTAGAGGCATCAGGCCGAGTAAGAGTGAGGCATCAGGCCGAGTAGAGGCATCAGGCGAGTAGAGGCTTCAGGCCGAGTAGAGGCATCTAGGACCGAAAGTAGAGGCTTCAGGCTGCGTACAGGCATCAGGCCGAAGTAGAGGCATCAGGCCGCGTACAGGCATCAGGCCGAGTACAGGCTTCAGGACGAGTAGAGGCTTCAGGCTGAACAGTAGAGGCTTCAGGCTGAACACGGAAGGCAGGTTCACCGGTTTGGATACTGGCAGGATGGTATTGGTTGGAAAGAATTTTCGCTTTTTTCTGGTTTTAACTACTGGAGCACTGCAAGTAAACGCAGGTCTGCAAACGAATGGAGCAGCTGGAGACAGAGAAGAGAACTGGAGGATGGAACAGGAGAGGGAGCAGTTGCTACAGAGGGGCTTTTTTACAGGGTTAAAGGCAGGATAGGTGCAGTGAGTGGGAACAGGGGTACTGACATGCGGTAGATAGCAGGGCAGGAGGAGCTGTTGGGAATGCAGGAATAGAGTTTTGAGGAAATAGATTAGAAGCAGGACTGGGTTTTTGTAAAGCTGACTGAGGCTGGGTGCAACAAATCTGTCCATGTCTGCAGTATGGGTTGAACAAGCTGAGCTTACACCAAAGCCTGTCTGACCAAAGACTGCACACTGCGTTTATACAATCTCTTAGTGTCTGTGGTGAACATGTGGAATCACGCTCCAGAAAATAACCCACATATCCTCCCTAATAACCACACCAGGGACTCTACCTGGTCTGCACTAAAATGGTGGCAAAAATTCAATCCTGCATTCGGGGGGGTACAGATGAAACAATCTCAGCACAAAGCCCTCAATCAAAGGCCTGCACCTCAGAGAACTCTGTGCCCTGATCTACTAGAACATGAGCGAGCCCGTATACATTCGTAGCAGTTCATCCGGGGATACTCACTTCAGAGTTTGATAAGCATACTATCTGTCATCAAACACAATTAGAGATATATAATACGCAACCTCATTCCAGATCCATCCTTCCCATCAACAAGCCAAGATGGCTTCCCTGTGCAGCACTTCTGGTCAGGATTGGCCTTGGTGTAATGTCAGAGCTCCGGGGTGTGACCAGAGGTGTGTGACTGACGCAGGGAAACGCAGGACTTCAGATATGTTATAAACAATGTAATTTATTAACACTAACCATACAAACATAAACCAGTGCAATACTAAAACATAACACAGTGCAAACAAACCAACCACCCACAGATAAACAGTACATACAATGCAAGCGTCGTCAGGCAGGCCGGGGGTCAATATCAGTCGGGCAGGTAGGTAAGGGGGAGCAAGCGGAGAATGGTCGGGGTCACAGGCCAGGTTCAGCAGGTAGCGGGCAGCGTGGTACAGAGGGTCAGGCAGAGGAGAATGGTCAGACAAGCCAGGGATCAAAGCAGGGTCAGCAGAGAATCAGAGACAGGAACAGAGAGCAGGAACAGGATACAGGGCCCAAGAGAAACACAACACCAAGGCAGAGTCTGCAGGTACTGAATGTCCCTTAAATACCCAGTATAATTAGTTTCCAGGTGTTTGACTGGCTGCAAGGTTGAGTCTCTGATTGCTGGGAGCACCCGCTGGCCAGCCCTGGTACTGCAGCTCATAAGGCAGCTGAGTCCCACTATTGCTGGCCAGTCCATTCCAGACAAGAGTACATTGGTGGCGTGCTTTTTATACCACTGGCATCTGACGCTTTGCATTGCACTTGGTGATGTAATGCTTGGATGCAGCTTCTCGGCCATGGAAAAACCCATTCATTGAAACTCTGTGCACACAGTTGTTTGGCTAATCTGAAGGCCACACAAAGTTTGGAGGTCTCTTTAGCTATTGACTTTGCAGACAGTTGGCTACTTCTGTTGCACTGTGTAGTGCGCCCCAGCATGCAATGAACCCTGCTCTGTCATTTTACATGGCCTACCACTTTGTTTGCTGAGTTGCTGTTGTTCCCAGTTACCTTCTACTTTGTTATAATTCCGCTAACAATTGATCATGGGGAATATTTAGGAGCAAGGAAATTGCTCACAGATGGACTTATTGCACAGGTGGCAACCTATTTCAGGTACCCAGAAATAATAAATGTAATTGGGCGCATCATAGGTAGACCTCAACTATGAGAGACAAAATGAGAAAACAAATCTCCAGACAATCACATTGGATGATTTGGAAAATAATTTATTTGCAAATTTGTTATAATACCAATAAACAGTTGACCGTGGAATATTTAGTAGCAAAGGAAATTTCATGGATGGACTTATTGCAAAAGGTGGAAACCTATCACGGTACCACACTTGAATTCACTGAGCTCCTGAGAGCGACCCATTCTTTAACAAATGTTTGTAGAAGCAGTCTGCATGCCTGGATGCTTGATTTTATACACCTGTGGCCATGGAGGTGATTGGAACACCTGAATGCAATGATTTGGTGGTGGAATGTCCCAATACATTTGGCAATATAGTGTGTGTGTGTGTGTATGTATGTGTGTGTGTGTGTGTGTGTGTGTGTGTATGTGTGTGATGTGTATATACAGTTGCAAGAAAAAGTATGTGAACCCCTTGGCATTACCATGGAGTTTTTGCATGAATTGGGCATAAAATGTGCTCTGAGCATCATCTAAGTCACAACAATAGAAGAACACAGTCTGCTGAACATAATATACTACACAAACATTTTGATGTTGCCATGGTTTAATTTGCACATACCATGTAAACATTCACAGTGCAGGGAGGAAAAAGTATGTGAGTCCCTAGCTTATTGACTTTCTCCCAGAGCTAATTGAAGCCAGGAGTGAGCCAACCTTGACTCCAATCAGTGGGATGATATTGGATGTGTTGCTGACAGCTGTCCTGCCCTTAAAAAAACACACACCTGTTTTGGGTTTACTGGTTTCAAGAAGCACTGTCTGATGTGAACCATGCCTCGCAGAAAAGAGCTCTCAGAAGACCTACGATCAAGAATTGTTGACTTGCATGAAGCTGGAAAGGGTTACAAAAGTATCTCCAAAAGCCTTGATGTTCATGTGTCCACGGTAAGACAGACTGTCTACAAATGGAGAAAGTTTAGCACTGTTGCTACTCTCCCTAGGGCGTGTTCGTCCTGTAAAAATGACTGCAAGAGCACAGCGCAGAATGCTGCATGAGGTAAAGAAGAATCCCAGAGTGTCAGCTAAAGACCTACAGAAATCTCTGGCACATGCTAACATTTTTGTTGACACATCTACAATAAGGAAAACATTAAACAAGAATGGAGTACATGGGAGGACACCACGGAGGAAGCCATTGCTGTCCAAAGAGAATATTGCAGCATGTTTGAGGTTTGCAAAAGAGCACCTGGATGTTCCACAGCACTACTGGCAAAATATACTGTGGACAGATGAAACCAAGATTGAGTTGTTTGGGAAGAACACACAACACTATGTGTGGAGAAAAAAAGGCACAGCACACCAACATCAAAACCTCATCCCCACTGTAAAACATGGCGGAGGGAGCATCATGGTTTGGGGCTGCCTCAGGGCCTGGACGGATTGTTGTCATTGATGGGAAAATGAATTCCAGAGTTTATCAAGACATTTTGCAGGAAAACGTACGACCATCTGTCCACCAACTGAAGCTCCGCAGAGGATGGGTGATGCAACAGGACAATGACCCAAAGCATACAAGTAATTCAACAAAACAATGGCTGCAACAGCACAGAATACGCCTTCTGGAGTGGCCCAGTCAAAGTCCTGACCTCAACCCGATTGAAATGCTGTGGCATGACCTTAAGAGAGCGATTCACACCAGACATCCCAAGAATATTGCTACACTGAAAACAGTTTTGTGAAGAGGAGTGGTCCAAAATGACTCCAGATCGTTGTGCAGGTCTGATCTGCAACTACAGGAAATGTTTGGTTGAGGTTATTGCTGCCAAAGGAGGGTCAACCAGTTATTAAGTCCAAAGGTTCACATACTTTTTCCTCCCTGCACTGTGAATGTTTAATGTTATGTGCAATTAAACCATGGCAACATCTAATGTTTGTGTAGGATTATGTTCAGCAGACTGTGTTCTTCTATTGTTGTGACTTAGATGACGTTCAGAGCACATTTTATGCCCAATTCATGCAAAAACTCCACGTAATCCCAAGGGGTTCACATACTTTTTCTTGCAAACTGTATATATATATATATATATATATATATATATATCACACACACTATATTGCCAAATGTATTGAGGCACCTGCCTTTAAGTTTAATGGTATCCCAGTCTTAGTCTGCGCTGTGGTAGTTAATTGGATCTTCCTGTCAGTATACCTGCTTGTTGGTACATCCCATATGGGCAAGCAGATATACTGACAGGTCTGCAGGAGACCTGCATGGCACCTGCTATCTGCTGGTGCAAAGCTTTACAGGCTCCTGCAGCCTGAAATAAAAGATACACATTGTTTTACCATCCAAAAAAATGTGCATTTATTATTTTTGTGCAAAAGGAGAACTTATCCTTTAAAAATAAATGCGCTCACATGTACAAAATATGTATAACTGTGTGAAACATATCATTCTGTGCACTGCTGTGTCATACATCAATCCATCTTGCCAAAAGGTTGCTCACACATCCCAGTGCTAATTCTCACATTTTCCAATTTCCTTCTGCACATCCACTGTCAGGGCTCCAGGTATGACCAGAGGTGTGTGGACTGACACACGGAAACGCAGGCTTCAGATATGGTATAAACAATATAATTTATTAAGACTAACAATACAAAACGCAGTGCAAAACTAAACATAAACACAGTGCAACCAAACCAAACCACCCACCGATAACAATACATACAATACAAAGAGTAGTCAGGCAGGCCGGGTCAGTAGCAAACTGAGTACCAGGAACAGGCGGGAGAGTGGTCGGGGTCACAAGCTGGGTTCAGTAACTCACGGGCAGTGCGGTACAGAGGGTCAGGCAGAGAATGGTCAGGGTCACAAGCCAGGGATCAAGCAGGAGAAGTCAGCAGAGGTCAGGATCAGGCAGGGTCAGCAACAAGTCAGACAGGAACAGGATACAAGGTACAGGGGCCCATGGAAAAAAACACACCAAGGCCCTGACTGTGAGTCTGGCCATTCCTTAAATACAACCCCTGCAATCAGCTTCAGGTGTTTGGCTGATTGCAGGGGGTGAGTCTCTGATTGCTGAGAGCACCCGCTGGCCAGCCCTGGTACTGCAGCCCACAAGGCAGGTGAGTCCCACCATAATTGGCAAGTCCATTCCTGACATCCACGTTCTTATTTCAAATCCAATTCTACTTCCATCAAATGCCAGCTTATTATAAAACTCACATGCGTTGAAATGAATATGCAAACAGAATCCAAAATGGGGGCCCAAGCACCTCCGGTTTATGTTGTAACAGCATTAATGCAGATTGCTTTGATATCACCCCAGACGAAGCTGAAATTAAAATTTTGGTCATGGTCTTCTGGTGGTCCTGTCTGATTTTGTTTGTGCTTGACAGCAGTTGCCGTATTTTGAGTTAATGATGCACCTGGATTGGTAGACCCGGGGTAGCTTTTCCACTTTTGTCTAGTTTTCCTTGCTTTATTTTTTATAAATTGTCTCCAATTTGACACACACAGTTTGCTTGATGTTTGTGCTAGAAAGCGAAAAAAAATAATATCAAAGTTATGACAACATGCTACAAAGGAATCTTCTTTTTAATCATTGTATTTAACATTAAAAGGAAATTGCAAATTATTTCCGACATTGCTATTAAACATGCTTTAGCTTTTTAACTTAATTGCAAGGGAACAGTTGTTTAGCATTTTTGAAGATTTTTCCAGAGCTTTATGACTGCTGTAACATATCACAAATAAACGATCCCTCCGATGGGTTGTAGCTCCTGTGTGGGCTGCTAGCTGAGGCAGCGTATTACTAGAAAATGGGTCTTCCATTATTAAGACAGGTAGTCTCAGCCTGGACGTGACCTCTCCAAAAGGCTCTCATTGAGCAGGGAGCAGAGGTGAGGAAATAGGAGCCACTGCTGGAGAATGCATTTCTTTCTACTGTCACTATCTATTTCCATAATGCTTGTCATGTATTGTAAAATGAGCTGTCTCCTGAACACATGGCTCTAGAGCACTTGGTGCATGCATGCATGTAAAGCTTTTCTCTAGACAGAGAACTAATCTCAGCCACTCTGCAAACCAAAGATAAAAAAAAAAATGAAAATCACTTTTCTGCAGATTCAACTTGAAATGTATTTTGCAAATAATTTTTCTCTCAAATGATCCATTACAGCACCCATGTCTCCCCTTCAACCCCTTTGTTAAAGGGAACATGACACATGTAAGCTATCATTACTAAACTGTCGCCTTTGATAATGCTAGTTCTATGGTTATATTGCTGGCTTCTACAGTTTGGGGCACTGGGCTGGAACAAATACGCAATTCCGGAGTTCTGATATCAGTCTGTCCTAATTGATTGAATGATTGTACTGGGTCCCTTTTTTCCAGTAAATAGAAGCCCAAGACAGCCAGGCAACTAACATCTTCAGAAATAAGTCAACAGTGGCAGCCTATACATTTCTGCAAGTACAGGAGTCCTTTAATATTAAACCTTCAGACATATTATATAATACTAACCAACAGGGGGACAAACGTTGGGACCCCTTTCCTCTTAAAGACAGCTTGAATTGTGGAAGCTATACCAAATAAGGCAAGTAAGAGGCAAATGACTGGTCAACAGTTAGTCCTCTGGGGTCCTGGCAGGTAATCTTTTTCTCTTTACTGACTTGCCATGCTTTGTTTCACAATATGCAACAGGGAGCCTGGGGCAGAGCCGCATCTCCAGCAGAGGGGTGAAAGAGATCTAGAAATTCTGTGGAGAAGTTCAGGGGTTTTGTACCAGGCAGAGAATAATTTGTAACCAGTTTCTTGCATATTCACATTTACCGAACCCTTGTGGTTATTGGACAGAACTTGTTCCCAGTTGGCTTCCGAAAGATCTAGAGACAGTCGCCGTTCCCATTGTTGACACAGTCTACTGGCCTTCGGAGGAGTAGTAGTTGAATGGAGTAGAGAATAAATCACTGAAATCATGTGTCTTTGAGGGATCGATCTAGAACAGATGGCTTTGAATGGCGTGTGGGGTCTGGACCACTCACTCGGAGTGTTCAGATAATGGAAGAAGTGTCTCAGCTGAACATACGTCCAAAAAGGAAATTACTTGTTGAGCATTTTAACCACCTTTCGCCCGCCATATAGTACAATGACAGGCGCAAGGTGGTTCTCTCGTTCTGATAGGACGTCTTATGACGTCCTTCCATTCTTACCGCGCATGCGTGGCTCAGGGAGCGCGCAGCGGATCACGGAAAGAGCCGAAGATGTCGGCTCGGTCATGTGATCAGCTGTGTCCAATCACAGCTGATCACATGTAAACACGGAAATGCTGGTTATCGGCATTTCTCTCCTCTCGAGCTGTCACACTGACAGCTCGAGAGGAGAGGAGAGCCGGTAATCGGCTTTCCGTGAAGGGGACATGTACACTGATCATCAGGGCAGTGTGCCCTGATGATCAGATGATGTTGGCCCAGTGTGGCCTCAGAAGTGCCACCTGTCAGTGTCCATCAGTGCCAGCAGTCAGTGCTCGCCAGTGCCACATCAATGCCATATATCAGTGCATACCAGTGCACATCAATGCCACATATCAGTGCCCATCTGAGCTGCCTTTCAGTGTCACCCATCAGTGCCAGTCAGTGCCACCTATCAATGCCAATCAGCGCCACCCATCAGTGCTGCCAATCAGTGCCACCTATCAGTGCCAGTCAGTGTCGCCTATCAGTGCGCATCAGTGCCAGTCAGTGCCGCCTATCAGTGCTAGTCAGTGCTGCCTAACAGTGCCTAACAGTGCCAGTCAGTGCTGCCTATCAGTGCCATATATCAGTGTCATGTATCAGTGCTGCTTTTCAGTGCCCATCAGTGATGCCTGTCAATGCCCATCAGTGCAACCTACCAGTGCCACCTATCAGTGTCCTTCAGTGCAGCCTATCAGTGCCCATCACTGCAGCCTCATTAGCGCACATCAGTGAAGCAGAAAAATCACTTATTTACAAAATTGTAAAACAAAAACTAAGAAAAAACTTTTTTTTTTTCAAAATTTTCGGTGGTTTTTGGTTTGTTTAAGAAAAAATAAAAACCCCAGAGGTGATTAAATACCACCAAAAGAAAGCTCTATCTGTTAAAAAAAAATGATCAAAATATCATATGGGTACAGTGTTGCATGACCGCACAATTGTCATTCAAAGTGTGACCGCTGAAAGCTGGAAATTGGCCTGGGCAGGAAGTGGGTATAAGTGCCCTGTAGGCAAGTGGTTAAGCTGCAACCGTTCCTTATTCAAGAGGACTCCTTTATGAAAGAAATGTTCTATAACAATGCGTTTGTATGGAGGCAACCGGCCAGAAAATTGGTGGCTAGACCCGGAGAAAAAGCTGGATTGTGCTGCAAAGGGGTCATAGGTCCCGGGGTCGAGGATAGCTCAAAGGTGCTGGAGGCTGTATAGAAGCAGTGTAGAGATGGACCAACAAATGGGTGGTCTTTAATGCACAAAGGGAATGAGAACGGAGCAGTCATGGGGCAAGGTGCAAAGGTGTATGTGCCCCAGCATTTTCCAGTTTAATCCAGGCCTTTGAATTCCCCGTGTAAATTCCAATCCACTACACGTGTCAAATGGTTTGCTAGATAATATTTATAGATATTGGGGATCTCGACACCCCCCTTGAGTTTAGGCTTAGTTAGGAGGTCATAGCTTATTCTGGGGCATTTCTTGCCCCAAATAAAGTCAGTACATGTTCTTCTATAGATGACAAAGAAAGGTTTTGGTAAATTGATTGGCACTGCTAACATGGTATATAGAAGTCGGGGTAAAACATTAATTTTGATGATGGCTGTTCTTCCAAACCATGAAAAGAGGCCCTCATGCCAGGTCTGGAAATCACGTTGAATATTTAGCAAAATGGGTAAATAGTTCAGGTCATAAAGATCCGATAAGAGCCGCAGCAGTTGTATACCTAGGTACGTGATGGTCTTCTCTTGCCAGAATTAAAGGATAACATGCTTTACACTCGTCTACTGCCATTTGGGGCAAAGAAAAATTGAGAGCAAACGATTTAGCAAAATTGATTTGTAGGTTGGAAATTGTATTGTAATGAGCAAAGTCTTTCAATAAGTGGGGAATCGTGACCTCGGGTTCAGTTAAAAATAAAAAAATGTCATCCGCAAAAGCAGCAATCTCATGCGTGCATCCTGCAAGCTGGATGCCCGCTATCTTGGCATTAGACCGCAGTCACCTTAAAAAAGGTTCCAGGGTTAGCACAAAGAGGGAGATAAAGGACAACTCTGTCTGGTACCGTTTGATATGGAGAAGGCATCCGTCAGGTGACCATTAATGCAAACACGAGCTGATGGCTTAGAATACAGAGCTAGAATGTAGTTCAGCATAGTGTTGAGTATGCCGATGGCCTCCAGGGTTGCTCGCGTATAATCCCAAGCCATTCTGTTGAATGTCTTCTCCGCATCAAGGGACAGGAAAAAGCCTCGTTGAGCGGAGGAGGTCAGCCAGTGGTGAACGTTAAGCGCTTTCAGAGTATTGTCTCTGGCCTTCCTCCCCAGTATGCAGCTAACTTGATCCAACAAAATAAGAGAAGGCAAGAATGGGAGTAGACGGTTCGCCAAAATTTTGGCATATAGAGCTTGAGATCAGCATTTAAGAGGGAAATGAGTCTGTAGTTGGGGATCAACGTTGGATCCTTGCCCTCTTTAGGGATGACAGAGATATTGGCTTCTAAGGAGTGCTGCTATTGTTGCGGGTGAGAACCTAGATCATTAAATGTTGTAAGGAAAGGGTCCATGAGTATTTCAGAAAAAGTCTTATAATATATTGCGGGTAGGCCAGCAGGGTCTGGGCATTTCCCTGGTTTTGTGTATTTTAGATCTGTGAGAAGTTCCTCTCTGGAAATGGGTCTGTTCAAGAGATTAGCGTCAGTGTCAGATATCGGTTTGGGGCTATACTGCGAAAAAAAGTCTTTAATAAGCTCTTGTCTATGGGTGCGGTCGGTGGCATTAGGGGTATATTTGTACAGGTTGTATAGGTCTGTTTAATAGTGAATGAATTGATGTGCAATATTCTCAGTATTGACTAGAGAGCTGCCATCCGGGGTCTTGATAGTGTGAATGGTAGTGGCTGCACGTTGAGCCTGTAATGCTCTTGCCAGAAGCTTACCGTGTTTGTTGCTCTTTCTCATAAAACAATTTCTTGGTTAGAATAAATTTACGTTTAGTGATTAGGTCGAGTTCCGCCAGTAGGTTCGCCTAGGCTTTGTGTAAATCATGGGGCGTTTTTTGAGCCTCGACTGTGCACAATTTCAAGATTCTGCACCCTCTTTAGCAAGGTGTCAAGATGTGCCTGTCTGTCCTTGCATTTGCATGCCATTAAGGCAATCATCTCTCCCCGTATTACACATTTATGTGCCTCCCATTCAGTAATAAAAAGAGCATTCCGGGCCGGAATTTTCAAGGAGGTATAAATGAAGACATGATACTAAATGAGATGTATGCAGTTTATCCGTAAGTAATGACGTGTCCATTCGCCATAAGGCCGATCGGGTTTGGTCGTCGGGAAAGGGAGGGTAATGGGATTATGGTCAGAAAGTACCATAGGTTCAATGGTGGCTTTCGTGAGTAGAGACAAATCCAGTTGTGAAATAAAAAAATAGTCCAGTCTAGAGTGCCGATTGTGAGGGAGCGAGAAGTAGGTAAAGTCTTTCATAGTAAGATAGAGGGTGCGACAGGCATCGTGAACTAATTAGGGATTGAAGTTGAAGTTTAATACACTGAAGAGCTTTATATGGTAATGTAAAAGTGCCAGTAGACGTATCAAGCAAAGGGTGGATTTGGAGGTTAAATTTGCCTCCGAGAAAGACAATGCAGGTAGAAAAGGAATCAACTGATTCACTACTGACCTAAGGAAGGCAACTTGTTTGGTATTCGGGCAGTAGATATTAGCCAACATGACCGGTCTATTGTAGAGTGTGCCTTTCAAAAATATGTATCTGCCATCCTTGTCCACCAAGGAGTTGGCAACGTGAATATGAAGATGAGTATGGATACGCCTTTGGTTGTGGATTGAGTATTAGTTGCGTGATACACGGTAGGGTAATACGGGTTTGTCAGTTTTGGAATGTGAATCAAAGGGAAGTGTGTTTCTTGGAGGAAGATTATGTCTGCCTGTTGCTTTTTCATTAAAAGGATAAGCTGCGATCTTTTGGGGGGGATGTTAAGGCCCCTAGCATTTAGAGAAACAAGTTTCAATGTGATTGGAAGATTTTTTTTGTATTCGGTGAGCCATGAGTGCTGTAGCCAGGAGTGTCAGGACAAAGGAGGATTTAAAGCCCTAGTGTCAGCAAGGAGGAATGGGCATGGACGGCGGAGGGAGAGAGGGGAAGACAAAAAAAAAGGGGGGGGGTGTTTGGAAGATAGTACCAGAAGTGAAGGGGACAAGTAAATATCCAGAGGCAGGGGGGAACCTGCTATCCTGCCAAAGGAAAGGAAGGGAGCTCCCGGATGTGATCAGCGGAAAAAGGTTGAGATCAGAGAGCATACAAATGAGAGCACCACTGGGGGTATCACCTTTAGTAGGTTTCCAATAGAATTAGAAAATTTGTGTAGATGTGGAAGCTATGAGCCTTACAAGGAAAGCTGTAGGGGGGGATCCAGACACTATTTGACACTGTTCACGTTTTTAAAGTAGCAGTGGGGAGTAGGAAGGTCACATCAGAAAAAACACAGCAAAATCATATCATACATACAATGTATAAAGTGGCCAACTAGGTACAATAACATAACTAACAGGTCATAGCATAGTGAAATACTCGATAAAATCTCAAGCAAGTTACCGTAGGAGTCTGCGAAGGACATTAGAAAACTACAGATGGGGCTTACTGAACGTAGCCCATGGGGACTGCCTGGTACAGTATCTGGGTAACGAACAACCACTGTATGACAGAGTGAATAATCAGGCATGAAAACAGGCTACGCAGGGGATAGGAAGGCAAGGTGAGTACTTAACGGCTACAAATGGCAATGTAGAACAGGACAGCTCAAGAAAGGAGAGAACAAGAGAAAAACCAAGACATTAAAAATAAAACTTGTACAGAAAAACTGTCTGCCAAACTTAGCTAGCTCATATAAATGTTTACCCATTCTCTGAATATCACGTATTGGGGTTCACATATAGTTTATTAGCGCAGCACCACAATTTAAAATTCTTCCTGAGAGGCGTATCTGATTGAGTACTTGGGAGAGGAACTACAGGTCAAATAATTACCTGCCAGGATTGGAGTAGGATCCAGGTGTGATCCTGAAAGTGCAATGGCCCATTGGGTCGCCTAAAGGAGGTGAGGAGGCAATCTAGCCACTGAGGATAAGTGTTCTGACACTTTCACCGATACCATCACTATCTTCACGTTGCATGTTTTTTGTGTCGTTTGAAGCACTCATTTATGGACAATTAGAAATTTGTTTTGAGTTTTTTAAGTGATTTGCTGTGTGGTCACATTTGTCACTTGTCACATTTATTATATCCCTTATTTATAGGGGTCATTTGATATATTATAGGTCATTTATATGAGTGATTTCACATATTTCATTTATATATTTCACTTATATATTTCATTATTATATTTCACTGATAATAGGGCACCAGGATGACCATTGGTCACTTTTGTTTGGGCACTTGATGCACTTTTATATATATATTTATGTTTATTCAGTGTATTCGGTATTTATATGATTTTGA